CTCTGAGATGAACGTTGTGCGATAAAACCAACAGAGATCCACATGGGTGGTTGGGTTGTTAGAAAATCCGATAGAGTAAAATCATACCGCCTCTGATTCGACGATATTGGGATGACTATAGCCCCAGGAGCTGTAATCTTTCTCCGTATGTCTTGGAATGCAAACCTTTGACCATTTTGGTAGCTATTCTCTGTGGATGTTCGACTGCCTTCAGATCTCGCTGCAACCATGGGTTCCAGGCTTGAATTGAGTACTCAGTATATGGACGAATATACGTGGCTAGAAGACGTGGAAACAAAGCCGGTCAACTGTGTCTTGTTGACATGAGATGTTTTGCATTAGATGATTCTGGATTTCTTGCAATCACGTGACCACCATTTGTCGGTTGGGTTATTTATACTCTCTTTGTGTCTGTTTGTTTTTTCTTGATCAGGCTCGCTACGCTACTCGAGAAGAACTGTTGCGTGTACATACGGAGGCATATGTGGATCGCATTGCCCAGACCGTTGGCATGGATCAGGCCACATTGGACAATTTGGCCCAAGAGGAAGATTCAATCTATTTCAATAGGGTGAGTTGATCTTTTCCGGTCTCTCTCGCTCACTGATCGTGTTCTATCTATTTTCCCAATTATCTAAGGGGGATGAAAAATCCTCGGATTTTTAGTTGTTTGATTCGCTTGACCTATCTCCTGCTTTTTGTGTTTTTCCTCGTGCATCGCTCCGTTTGCGCAATGGTGTACGATTTTAACGGGGCAGTGTATTGGTCTCTCTCTCTGTTTTTAGCATACGTACGATTGCGCTCGATTGGCTGCCGGTTCCGTTCTGGCCGTCGTGGATGATGTTTGTTCCGGACAAGTTAGTGGTCATGTCTTTCCTTGCCTCCATTTTTCATTGGTGTTTCGGGGTTTTGCTTAAAAAAGGACTGCTTCACTTGTAACACTCTAAACCTTGAAAAATCGATGTGCTATTTGATTCATGTTGGCTGACCCATTAAGAGCGTCTGTTATTGTTGTGATCCACGCGTAACGGAAATGACCGGACAGACCGCGAGTCTAACAAACGCACGATAGGACAACCCCACACAGCGGTAGTAGAGTAACCCGGAATGTTCCAGTGTCCGAGTGAGAACCAGACGAATACACACGCCCAACAGTACACGTCCCGGACCAGATAGTGATGCCCAGCTCAATTCCCAAGAGATTCGGAACACGCCCCGAGGAAGTAGTACCATTCGGAGATCTAACCAAGAAGAACGCGGAAGAGAGATATCTAGGTGAGGTTGTATATTTGACTCGACTCTTTATTCAACCCGTAACCCAGTTGCATAAAATTATCCAATGTGCCGCAACATATGAAGAAAAATCTGTAGGATGTGTTTCGAAGTTATGTGGGGGATAACCTCGGGGCGGCCATCCGACGCCTTCAACTAGAAAGTCAGACCTGCAAAATAGCAGGGCGGAACTCAGAGTTCACAATCCATCGGGGGCCGGCGTGGGGTTCGTCGGATCATACTCCCTTTTGACGGGGTCAAAAGTCCCAAGTGCCCAATAACCCTCAAAACCCAATTGAGTCGGTAACTACTGCCACAAACAGGAAGGCGTGAGTGTTTGTTGTTCGTACGCCTCTTCTTGATTGGTTTGAAATCACAGTTTTTAGCCTACTCCCCTAGTTGAACTGTCAGTGGTTCACCAATCCGGTTATAGCCCCGAATGTTAGTTTTTCGTTCTTTCACTTGGGTGGAAAAACACCTCTGCCACGAGAAAGCAGTGAGTAGGACTTCTGCAGCAGAGGCTTTTTGAGACGCTTGGTCGTATAGGAGCATCTGGTGAAGAAGGGCGACGAGACGACCACCCCTGACAATACTGAGGCTTTCGGAGTGACTCGATCTTAGTTGACAATTCATCTGTTTGTATACATTTTCGGGGACGATTATCAGTGATCTTAAGAAATAGCTCGAAATTCCAGTTTTGGGGAGACAGACCAATGAGGGACGATCACGGTCTGTGGTATGGAATGAAGCTTTTTGATGCGAAGATTTGTAACTTCAAACTTTGGTTTTATAAAAATTGAGAAACAGCGAAAAAGAAGGCGAAATAGTCAGTTCAGAAAGGAAAAGGGCTTTTCCTTATCAGGCTAGTAATCGTCAAACATGCAACCGAAACGTTGCATTTATTCGCCATATGCAATACATTGTACTCATGGATTGTTTGTTGATCTTACACCAGGTTAGGTCGATAAATCGCCGATTGTCATTTGCACCCTAAACCAAAAGTGATTACCATGGACGCGATCTCTCCTCATTTTGTTATGCTCGTTTGCCGTACAGACAGCGACCAGAACCGGAGCACGAAAGTGTATGGTTAATGGTTGTAAAAACTGAAACTGTTTGCCGTACATATTAATTCCGGTTTACCTAAATTTTCGGTTGATTCGTGTGAGCGGGTAAAATAGTAAATCAGATGGTAATATTCCACAATATACTTCTCTTTTTGCTTGTCCTGATCCAGTGCTTTTGGATTATTATTTACAGCTGAGCGCGGCAGGGGCAGGGTGACGAACTTCTGAAACCAAATGGAATTCACTTTCCACGTTTTTATTAACATACGGCTAGTGTCCGCGGAAAAAAGTGCAGAAATTCCTTCCCCCTGTGCGCTCTCACGACCCGCGGTTTCTGATTCGTATTCATTGTAGCCAGCAAAAATCTATTCGTAGTTAGTTACACATTGTCCTACATCTCGATCAAACTACCAGCTCGTAAATAGCCATCCACGAACTGATCTCTCTCTCAATCCCAACGGGATTTTCTCCGATCAGAAGCAGCAACACTGATTTGGGTGCTTTCCAGCAAACGATAGCTGAATAATCAAAATTCGTGTCCTAGCCTGTCAAACTGACTAATCTAAATTCCATGGTGATGTTTCTCACCTTCTTCCGTTGCCTGGTTATTTCATGCTAACTGAGTCCCATTTGGTATAACGCAGAAATCATCTGCCCTTCTCAAAATCGGTTAGTTCATCTCGGTGTGTAACATGGGATACAGTGTGAATTCTTTAGTGCAAAAGTTTCGTTCTGATATTTTTCATGCCCACGAATCTACTAGTGTGCATTCAGTTCAAAATTATAGTGTGTACACTATCTACAGATCTTTGTGTGTGTACGATGCAAAGCAATGCCCCCAGCACCGGTTGGGGCTGTTTTAACACTCAATGGTGGGCTCACAACAGCATCACACATCCAGATTTTTATTCGACCGTACACCTGCGAGGTTGGCAACCGAGTGCAGTTCACAAAATAGTTGGGTTATTCCATACAAGACGGGGATAATTCATTCACCTCTTCCGTAAGACCATGCTGAGTGGCTAGTGAACAATAGAAACCTTACCTAATGGTGGACCGCGATTGCCACGCTGTAGTACACTCTGATGTCTTATGTCCCGCTTCATAGCTGAGCAGAGCAGCACCGGGGCAAATTATTCATTAAACCTAGGCTCATCTTGTGCAAAATTACCCTCCAGACCGTTGTCCGCCGCCCTTTTTACGACTTGAGGACGCCGCATTGGGATGCATGTGTCCATCTGATCGTTTTGCGCTCGATTATTTACAAAATAAATTATTTACCCTTTCATAATTTCCTACACATTAAACACTGATATCTTTTGTTTGTTTCAATTCTTTTTTGTCAGAGTTTGAATGGAATCGCTTTGGTTCGGCCCCCGGGGCATCACGCCCTACCCGATCAGTGCATGGGATTTTGTTATTTCAACAATATCGCGATCGCCGCTCTCCACGCGCAGCATGTCTACGGCTTGGAACGGTCAGTCACGTTTGCATCACGTGAACACACATTCACTTCGTTTGCTTGTTGTTGTTGTTGTTTTGCAAATCACGGGTATTTGTCTACCCGGATTGCAACCCGTTTCTTTTGTCCATTCTGACGCTTCTCCTGATTACGTTCTGTCCAAGAAAAATCGGGTATATTTTATCCCCAGTCTCGATTTTAAGGACAGAGCTGTGCTACCAAATGCGTCCCCAGGTTGTGAATAGTAGAACAATAGTCATTTCGCGGTTAAACATGGATGGATAAGCGATCGCGTCTGATTGGCAGCCATACTGGAGGATGTGGTGGGTTTACTACTTGACAAGGGCGCTACGCACAAAATACCACATATATCTGTGAACAGCGCAGTGCCGTATCGGGTTTAACCTATACGAAAAGGCTCTCTAGAAGAATTGAATGAACCATCCAACGGGCTCACGTAGATTAATTAGTGCTGCCGGCTTGCGGTGCACACACTTGGTTGCGCAAAAGCTGGAGTGCACCCTCCAACCAAATTCCCTCTGGACCGAACAACCAACTAGTACAACAGCCCGAAAAACACACTATGGTGAACTTTCTCACATCCCTGAATCTATATTCTCAGCTTGACTCCTGCTTCAATTAGCGTCCAGGTCTCATCGAATTCTTCTCCACCAGTTGAGGCTCTTCGTCGGTTTCAATACCCCTAAAGGTGAACTACATTTAAGTTGCGTGTCGGACAGCAAATGCACTTGCCTAGTACGCTTGAAACTCTAGCCACTAGTATGTGTGTGTTGTGTCCGGGAGACTTGCTCACACAGACCACATTAAAACATCCCGAAACATCGTAACTGGTATCTGGGATCACTTAGTGATATAGACGCGAGTGTCGCAAACAGTCGCGCTTGTGCATTCATACAATCTTAGTCCATGTGAATTCTCTTCGAGTCTGCCCGTAACATTCTTTTCTTCTTCCTGCTCTTTCATCCAAATGGGTAGCCGAAAGACAGCAACCATAACTGGCGCATGAAAGTGCATGGTTAATGGTTGTCATGTACTGAAACTGTCCATGTTGCTGGCATATAGAGGGTGCTGTTGAGTAATAGACCCGTCGTACACTATAGCAACACTGGAATGAAACCAACATCGGACCTGAATAAGCAATTCTCTTGTGACCGTAAATCCCCGGTTATGTCTACGAGTGTTTTCTTATCCACAACTTTGCTCGTATTTCAGGATCGCCATTGTTGATTGGGATGTTCATCACGGTAACGGGACGGAGAAAGTATTCGAAGACAATCCGAAGTGAGTGCTCATTTGTCGAAATTAATGGTATCTTTTTTTCCTTTTCCTGGGCTGTTCAACTAAGCCGATCTACTTACCATCTTTTCTCTGCCGGATTCGAACCTTACAGTTTCGTTGGAAACATTGTAGAATATGACAGCGATGTTCTTGGTTTAATGTGCGTATCATCACAAAATACAGGAAGAGGTGTTTTAGTACAGTTCGTACTTCTCTGCCCATCTTTCATATTCGTGTTTGCTCGGCACAGGTTTTAAGCTTGGTAGCGATCGGCAAACTTCGCTGTATGGTGATGTTGAATGCCAGTTTCACTCGTTCAAACTCTGATTGTCCATTACTCGCGTTTACTCCCCTCCTGTTATCGTTTATCTAGCGTTCTGTTTATTTCGGTGCATCGTTTTGACGACGGTCGTTTCTTTCCAAATACGCAAGAGGCAAGCCCTAGCGTGTGCGGTGTTGGTGAAGGTCAGGGCCGTACGATACAGGTTGCGTGGAATGGAGTAAGTTTTGCTAATATTCACAATATTTCCCTGTTGTGAAACATAGAAATCTTGTTCTTGTATTTGTTCAACTGATTGTCATGCTTTGCTGTAAGAAACTCATCATTTGAAATCACTTCCACCCCCTCTAGCGTCACGTGCGAGACGGCGAGTATATTTCCGTATTCACCCATTTGATTCTACCCGTGCTGTACGAATTCCGTCCTCAATTGATACTGGTCTCCGCTGGTTTCGATGCAACACGTGGCGATCGGCTGGTAAGCTCCCGCAAAATTGTTGTTGCTTCGTATTTTCGGCCTCTTTTCTCCGAAGCCTTTATCTTGGCTAGGATTCTTAATAATCGAATTGATGTTCATTTGATTAACTGTACTTTCAAACATTGTACATTTCGACTAAAATGATCATCGGAGGCTGTGTACAGGATTTGGGTTTGGCTTCAAACGCTATTCAAGGTTTATTTTTCAATAAACCTACAATATCCTGTTCCAGTAGCCACTTATCGTTCACTTCATTCATCTGGTTCCGTTTTTTAATCAAAACTAGCATGCCAAATACATCAGGTATGCATCCATCACCTACCCCAACGCTGCAACATATGCTGGGTGCTACGGTTCTGTTGAGTACACTGGCGAGTCAATCTAATTTGAAGCGTCAACACTCCGATCGACGGGATACTGAACCCCAATAGATCACGATCGTCATGCACTGTCAGACGGATCATGCTTGATCGACCCAAGGCTGCAGTGGTGATTCCTACAGAAACAACCCTGCTGTTCTGACTTGAGTGACCCGTTACCATGACGTTATCAAGCCAGATTTGCTCGATAAGGTTCGGCGTCATTGTCTCGCAGGTTATATTAGAAAGCGAATGTTGCTCAACCTGTTGCCGTTCCCTTCATCAATAACAATTTTCACTGGAGTTATTAAATTGGTCTTTCTATTCGTCCAAACGTGAGTCAGGGCATGATGACTTGAAATGGCTAGTCTTGTTACGTCCGTATTTATCGCTAAATAACGTAAATCTATCTTCCAACTTAAAAATCATGGATCCACTTGATAGCTCGTATTAGGACAACACTGGTGTTCCANATAATTGAACACCTCTTCCCGAACCCCCGGCGGAAGAGTCTAGCTCACACGTTGGTGGGATTTGTACCGTGTGTGTTTTGTCGTCACTGCTAGAACCTTAAGATTCATTCACTGAATGCATCCGTGTTCCTCACGTCCGTGTATCAATTTCAGCGACCGTCATTTTTCATGATGAAGAGCATCGCGCTCACTTGACCGTCCCCATTCATTTGCCAGTCCGATTTCGCATCACTTTCTGTACGTCTGGAAAAATCCACTGTTTTGTCAAATCGTTATTTCTTCAAGTAGCGCCCGGTGAATAAATTCAAAACGGTGTCCATTTTCACGTTGGATTTGTTTCTGTGCGGTGTAACAAATATCATCATTGCGATCTGGGTGCTTCTCATCATCATATATTACTTTATTATGATTATCCACCATGGTCATGTGGGAAATGAATGCAATCCAACCGTGATTTTCAGTTTGTGGTGGGAGAGTGGCACTGTTTAATTTGGAACGATTAACCTGCTAACACTAGGTTGGGGCCAGTTAGGTTTCTCTCACTATCAGTGAGCAAAACTCTCTCTCGCTCCTCATGCAGACATATCGGAAATATAAATGGTTGTATTGAAGCATTTACTATGGGTGACCTGTAAAGACCAAGATATATATAGTCCCACATGAACCAATAATTTGTAAGTCATGTCAAATCCAGCTTCTGTCAAAATTTGCATAACTCCTGTAATCCAGTAATTCCTACTGTCTAGTCCATAATTTCGTTCGTTTTTTTTTCGTTTTCTGTTCGTAATCTGTGATGGTCAAGCTACTACATTACTCTTTTCGCGTCCAAACTTTAGGGCGGGCTAAATTTATCCGTTGAATGCTTCGCTCACTTGACCCATTTGCTTCTCACGGTGGCATTTTTGAACCCCTCTTCCGACCGTGGTCAATCCTCCGCGGATTCTTCCACCCGAGTCACTCGAGCACGTCAGCAAGAGGAAAGGCGCGCAAATTTTTCCGGCGGACTGATCCTCGCTTTGGAAGGTGGTTACCAGTTGGCTGCCACCGCTGAAGCCGTTTGTCATTCGGTCGCAAGTTTGCTCGGGGATTGTTGTCCCCGACTGATGCTCGCCCTGGCTCCATCGGAAAAGTGAGTCAATTCTCGGATCTAATTGAATAAGGATTTGCCAAACTTAAGCCTCTCATTTTCGTAGTCTACAGCTAGTAATACGGAACGCATGTGTACTGAATGGTCGGGAGATGTGAATTCTTGCTTTTTGTGTATGGCAATCTCCTGGAACTAATCTTATCGCCTGATCAATATTTTCGTGCTCATAAACAAAAGCCTGAAATATCCGTTCTAGAATTTCCTCGCATTTGCAACCGAATTCCTCGCCACAAAATCCACCTTCTCAGATGCACACACGCGCACACTGATTTGTAATCACCTAGTCTAATGGATACAATACATGCAACAGTTGGGACCACCTATCAAATCATCACTGAGACTGAACTAGACAAACGAAGTGTATGTCTGCAACTAGTACCCTGTGACGACGTTTTTTTTCTCTGGTTAATTTGCAGAGTGCATGTATACTTTATTCCCACATGCAGTCAGTCATCTGCCCTTCTCCTCACAGACGGAGTTTCGTTGATTTATCCATCGGAATATGCCGTATTTTTGCAAAGTCCAGTAGGTAATTTCTATCCTGTAACCGAATTTGTCACCCAACCTTTTGTTTCATTCGCTTTGTTGTGTCACAGGGGTTGCAAGGCCATCCGGAAAACGTTGATTGTTCAGGAGAAATATTGGAAGCAAATTCAAGGCTATGGTGAGTCCGTTTTATGTTCTTTCTTTGACGGCTCTTCAAATTCGCATCCTGGTCATCGAACTGGGAAGTGAGATTAACCGAACGTCTTTGTTTTTTCAAACGTGAGCTGTGTATGCCTAAGAAAGAAGGCTGGAGAATAATCGTGCAAAACCTGTGTTCAGCATGACCAGTAGTCTGATCGCGAAATTACGGGAATCCATATCATGACTGTTTGGTAACTCCCAGTAATTTAGATGTTCAGTTCAAAGTATTTCTGGGGTGCGCGAAATTGAAAATCGACCTGTGATTCGTTTTTATGCGCGATGCGATCAGTCTTCGCGTGTCACTGGATTTGCAATCGTAACCGTTTATTAGTCAAAACTTTATTTGCAAGACGATAAAACAGTGTATGAAAACCGCATTCTGTTGGAGAGGGGGGGTTTGTTCCATCAGACGGATCTTACGCTTTTGAGATGTCGTCCACACACTCCCAGGGTACCAAGCACACTGTCACCAAATCGAACTGGTAACCATTACGACCAGAGGATCCAGAATCTATTTCGTACCCCTCTGGGAAGTTTAGAGTTAGGGCTTTCAGATCTTGCTGCCCATGTATTATCTGACTGGCTATGGTTCCGGATATTCACTTTTGGCTGTTTCAACTTAGTAAAAATGTCATCAACATGAGAAAGCTGTAAGTGGGACTCTCACTAGTAAATGCTCTAATAGACATGATCCATGAGAGCACCAAATAGAGCAAGAACGGATCCCCTCTGAGGGACTGGGGCTTTGAAGAGGGGCGGGGGGCCGCCGAAAAAAATATCGTTTTTCCAATACGAATGACATCCATTGTGCTCGGGCTTGCTTATGCCATTATATTAAATGAATAAGTCGATCAATTGCTTTGCATTCTTCCCCCTTCTTCTTGTGTTTCAGTTTTTAAGTGTGTGTGTGTGTGTGTGCACACGCGAGCAAACCAGAGCGTGTCATCGTAAGATCAGTTCACCGGGCAGAGCGAATAAACAAACGCGAGAGAACCGCGTACACTGCGATGTGTGCTCAGATAGGCGTGCCAAGGTCAAACATCACTGATGTGTCCCCGGACAGTTGTGCGCGTGCGTGCGTACGCGTATGTCTGTCCATCTGAAGCGAATACAACGGAGATAAAATGTGGGGGCGTGCGTTTCACGATGGCTTTGGGGATATTATCGTTCAATTTGATCCCGATTTTGCTCATTGAATTTGGATATTTTTCCATTCAGTCTAACGTAGGATAATGGAAGTATTAATACACATCCGGTTCTTTCGTCAAAAGAACTATAGGTGCTCAATTAAAAGTTCCGTATTTTCGTTGTTGCAATCCCCTCTGACCCATATTGTTTTTTCAAGCATTTGAAATCTTTTTCTAAGACGCGTTGCCCCATCCCCTCCTATCCACCTTTCCTGTCGGTCTAGGACCAGTTCACGGAACCCTTGTGNCTCAAATCGTATCGGTTCTCCGAATCGTAGCCGCATTAGTGGAGCGCATCCACCCGTTTCTTTCACCGGTCAACTGGAGGCGGAAATCCAGTCTCGCTTGGAAGACTTAAGTTTGAGCGATCGAACTGCCCCACAGGCGAACAC